AGGCGAAGTAAAGATTTAATATTTAGGTAGAAGGAATATTATTAGAGTAGAGTTGAAATTTGTATCAATACCGAAGAAATGGGCTATGGTACGATTCTTTCTAGAAGAAAACTGCATGTTTTATAGCATTTCGGATATTCTTGACACAATCTTTCTCCTCCACTCTAATTAGAAAAGATAGAATATAATTTCAAACACTTCCGCGGGCTTAGACTTCGGCAGATTGCAATTTCAAGCACTCTAAAACATATAAAGTCTAATTAAAACGGATGAACGAAGTAATGAAATTGAGCGGTTATGGAACTAAAAACGTTGTAAAACATCTAAATAATTTAATTTGAGAAATATTCTCAGGAGACTATCCCTATGATTCATAACACCGCGAAACATTTCGAAATCAATCCTTGGCTGTTTCCGAAAAAACATAAAAGGGGCATATTTTATTTTAAAACAGGTTGTTGGAACAAAATTGGATGAAAAAACATTTTGATTTATGCGCTGTTAAGAATTCTACACAGGTAATAATGTTGAATTGAACATTCAGCTTATGATGGAGCTTCCTAAGGTAAATGTCGCTCTAACAAATGCTCAGAAGTAAGCCGGTGGTTAAAAGTATGTTTTCTGGTTACAACAAAAGTATGAAGCGAAAGATTAGTAAGATGCAAAAAATGTATAATTACCGTAGTCTTTGAAATTATTGGTGTAATACATGGCGTCGGTAGGTGTTGTATAGAAGGGAGCAGGCTTGATAGGCGAGGAGAATCCCTGGATAAATACTATTTGAGGGCAATTGCAAGTCAATTAGCTCAAATAACTACATTGTCATCAGTGTTGACGTTGATATCCTGTGGATCGGCCATTATCATTTCGGACACGGCCCCAGTTTGATCTCCTTCTAAACCCATAGAATGATGATACATTGTAGGCGCAGATATAGTCTCCGTGTATTTGTATTCTTTGAAGACCGTAGTCATATCCTGAAAATATCGATTCTGACTAAGTTATCTGGAGCTAGGTATTATTAGAATGAAGATTCAATCAGAAAGCGGAATCTATCGTGCTATCAGAGCGACAGGCCGATGCGACACATGGAAACATTACAACACGAAGCGAACGAACAGTGAGGCGTTGAGGATGAACGAGGCGGTGAGAAGCATTGGCTGCAAGGTGCGTTTGATCGACTCTTTCGTTGTCCACTCACACATATCATTCTGCTCAGCGCAGCATAGTCTTTTTGTACTAACAACAACTCTTCAACATGCTTGGCACTGAGATCCAACGGAATCAGCTTCAGAAGCAAGACAGAGGCTAGCAGGAAGTTGAAAACCAAAAGATATTGCGGCTGTTGCGATGTGTAAAGATAAGGACAAAATGTGAAGATCAGCAGCCGATAGCCATAGGCCTATCATGGCTGATAATCAGAGATGCGTTTGCAAGATAGGCTCTACTACATGCAGTACTAAGTGACTTAGCGCGCGCCGGGTTCCACCGTCAGGCGGGGCGGTGCCTCACGGGGCGTGGCCCACCAATT